TGATAGCTGCTTGAGAAAATCCAAGTACAGAATTCATTACCTATTTGTGATTTGTGACCTGCTTCCTTACTGTCCTCCTTGGGGTTGGTACCCACACTCTTAAGTCATTGCAGGCAGTTACACTGACATAGCTGAAAAGATTCACATACCACAGGTCAATTAGGTTATGGATCATAACCCAGAGCTGTTCCAGTTTAAACCTGGTATTGAGAGTTTTAAAGGTTAAAGAATAGACTGAGCCACAGTCCTAAGAGAGTCATAAGGGGAAAGACCTTGAATACGTATCTTTGCAGAATGGAATATCATTTAAAAGGAAATCCTCAGATCAGGAGTTGAGAGTTTTGCTCACAAATTTTGACTGTGTGCCAAAGGAAGGAGAGCACATGGAGTATGATCAACAGGCCTCTCCCACATGTCACAGGGGGCACCATTATGATAGAACTGGTTGGACTTTAGCACCTGAGAGCCAAGGGACCAGAGAATGGTCACAGAATTGTGGATCAGGCAGGGGGAAGCAGCCAAGTCAGCTTAGGAGAAGCTACGCCACAGACACTTGGAAGGAATAACACCAATCAACGCTAGTGAAGAAGTGGAAGGCGCATGTATGAAGCTGATAGAAGCTCAAGCAATGCAATTAAAAATACCAGAGCAGCAAAATGGGCCACTGTCTACAGTCAAGCCCTAAGATACAACTACATTTGTTCCAATTCTTTAGACAAACATCTACAGGATCTTTATCAAGCTTTCTTAAAACTACAGTAACCACCTGGAGAAGTGAACAAAAAGACTGATAAAGCCAGTCAGCTACCCAGAAGTAACCTTCTACAGGACAGACCCAACAAAGAAAGCAACAGAATGCCACTAGTCATTACGTACAGCCCCACATCATCAAGGATCTAGAACCCATCACAGAAGACAATTACACACTTTCACAGACTTTGGGAGACAGGCCAGTCCTTACTTACAATGTCAGGCAAATACTCACCACCAACTTCACACCCCACAACAGACACAATAATCTAGGAACTGATCCCTGCAACAAACCCTCTTGCCAACTCTGTCCATGCATCTGCCCCAGTGACACCATCACAGGACCTCACCACATCAATTATCCTATCGAAGGCTCATTCACGTGCACATCTACTAATGTAATACATGCCATCGTGTGCTGACATTATTCCATCTATTTGGCATATATTCTTTGTTCCTAGAAAGATGGTTTGCATTTGATTGTATTAAAATAAACGCTGTTCAATACATCCATCATAGGAACAGTCCACATGCTCCTATATCAGTTGCCTGTCTTCCATGTTATTTACCATTTTACCAATCTGAAGTATCCATAAGCCCAGACCCATTCCTGGCACTTCCTGTTTTCCAGGCATAACCCTGACCTTGCTTTAAGTTGGGGTAAGAGGAAGCCAAAGGGGAGCAGAGAAAGTAAATGTAGGCAGGGCCTAAGGAGGTGTCTATGGAGTCCAGCTACCTTCCACACTGTCCACATTTTAAGAACATAGTAAAAGCCAACACCCATAACTTGGTACATACATCACACAAGAATATTGATAACTGAGTTATTAGTTTTCCAGTCATATATCACACACCACCTTTTGGGTATATGTCATAACAGTGTGCTAGGTGTATTGAGTACATCAGGCCTAACCAGAGTTGCTGACACAAAACAGAGAACCACCAATGGGCCTCTGCTCCACGATACTGTAAAAAAACAAGATAAGTTTAAAACATATTTTCTTATTTTTGCCACATCACACAGACATGCTTTACTATGGGGTGAGGTTTCATGGTACTTTAGGGAAACAGGTTTTCTGTTGAGGGAAGTTTAGTAAGGTTCAAAAATCTGGTGTAAAGGAAAGTTATATTCAACTTTTAATACATAGCAGTTCCCATTAATCAAATAACTCTTAGCTTCAGTTATACATTCTATAACCTATTTTATCTTTCACATAGTTATAATTAGTAAACACAAGTGATCATATATTTGGGATTTTTCTGTAGATTTCTCTATTCATTGCGGGATATAAGTAATACCAATTACAAATTAAGAAGTATGTTTCTAGGTGAACAATGCCTTCCATTATGTTACAAATATAATTGTTATTCATATTTCAATATATTTATAGTATTACAAGCCATGTAAAGATGCATGTGGATACAAAACTAAAGTGCCCACTTTAAAACACAGCTGAGCAAATGGATTCTATTATTAAAATGCCAAAATGATATATATTACATTTCCAAATGTAGGTTATAGAGAACCTATCTATTTCAGCATATATCTGTCTGTCTGTGAGTCCATCTGTCTGTGCATCTGAGAGTCCATTTGTTCAAGACCTCATCCTAAACCATAAGAGCCAGGACCACCAAATTTGGTATCTAGCACCCTCTTACCCTAACTTAAACCAAGGTCAGGGGTTGGCTGTGCCTACAAAAAAGGAAGCACCAGGAAAAGTACTATTTCCCATAACATGAAAAGGGAGGGGGCAGAGAGCGGAGGGATGTGAAAAGGAGGGACACAGAGAGAAGTGATGTGAGACTGAGAGAGGCCATTGGGGGCAGCTGCAGCACAAGGAGAGTGGCCAACAGAGTTTGGGCTCCACCATCTTGCCTGCCAGCACACTCATCAGGATCCCTCTTCCCCAAACCTGGAGCCTGCCCCCGTGGAGATCCTGCGGGGCCACCCTCCCCCAGCCAGCCTAGAGGCCACTGGGAAGCAGCTGGAGGGAGGAGCAGCTGGCAGGGGCACAGCCTCTTAAGACAACCTGAAGGCGATGGATGGGGGTGCTGAAGGCTGGGGGCAGCCCTTGGAGCCTGGCCAGCCACCTGGAGTGCCCTACAAACAGGCTGCAGGGGACCACTGAAGCTCATAGCCCCCAAAGCATCCCCCCAGACCAGTTGCAGGGCTGGGTGAGAGCTGCAGACTGGAGCCAGCAGAACACCCTGCACAAAGGCTGCAGGACTGGAAGGCCACTTCCTGAAGCAAAGCCCCCCAGAGCAGCTGCAGACAGGGGAGGGGTACTAAGAGTACAGGAGCTGACCTCTCTTAGAGAAGATGCAGGCTGGAGGGAGCAGCAGAAGACCAGGGCCTGCACGTCTAACAGAGTGCAGGACCCAGACTCCCCACACACCCTGCAAGCACACAGACCTACCTCTAACCCACTGTCCCAGGCTCTGGAGGCTGATGCCTTGTCCATTACAACACTGGAACCCACCTCACCTCCCTACTTTCAGCTGATGCCATCTCCAGCCATGGGCAAGCTGCTGGTGGCTGCCCTACTGGTCCCAGGACCAGGTATGGGTGGGACCTGTGAACCCAGTCTCCTGAGACCTGCACCACCCACCTGCCTCAACATAGGCCACCACCTTCCCCCTGTCCTAAGCCAGGCACTCCCTACCTCTTCTTACCGCAACCAACACTCCACCCTTCATTTTTCGTCAGTTTTTAAAAACACAGTACTTGAAATAAAGCATGTGCAAATTTACTTCCCTTCCCGCCCTCCAAAAAAAAAAAAAAAAAAAAACAAGACTGCAGGAAGACCGGGTACATCTGCTAGAATAAGATAATGCATCAGCCAACGGTAATGAACTCACGATCATCTCTGTTTCTCATATGGAAAAGCAACACCGGGAATACCAATCAGCTTCGGAGTAACACTTCCACCGTCGGGCATGCACATTCCAAACCTCATCATGGAAAGAGAAAGACTCACCTGAAGTAAGGGCTGATCCCCTTTGCTCACACTCAGGTTATCCGACATCAGGACCGGTTCATTTTTCTTTTCAATTGATTGACATGTACTTGAACAGGTTAACTTTGGCAGGGTAAACTGGCACTTCCCGGAGCCCGCGCTGAGCGACGCCTCCTGGGAGTAGGAGTGGAGAAACGCTCTGACCCCATCGATGCCCACGAAGTGCGAGACGGGAACTCCGCCGAAAGTCCCACTCGAGGAGTCCAACAGCTGCGACTCGCGCCACCGCCGGAGCCGCAGGGCCACCAGCGCTATGACGAAGGTGAGGAAGACGCAGGACACGGACGCCACCGCGATCACCAGGTACAAGGTGAGGCCGGACTGCGGCTGCGCGGGAGCCGAGAGGCTGCTCAGGTCCGACAGGAGCTCGGGGATGCTGTCAGCCACCGCCACCGTGACAGTGACGGTGGCCGAGAGAGGGGGCTGCCCGTTGTCCTTCACCAGCACCACCAGGCTCTGCTTCAGGCCGTCCCTGTCCACAAAGTAGCGCGCTGTCCGCACCTCGCCGCTGTGGACTCCGACCGAGAAGAGCCCCGGCTCCGTGGCCTTCAGCAGCTGGTAGGAGAGCCAGGCGTTCTGCCCGGAGTCCGCATCCACCGCCACCACCTTGGTGACCAGGTAGCCCGGCTCGGAGGAGCGAGGGGCCAGCTCCACTCCCGTGGAGCCATCGCTGGGGGAGGCGGGGTGCAGGATGTGCGGGCTGTTGTCATTCTGGTCCAGCACCAAGAGCCTGACGGAGACATTGCTGCGGAGCGGCGGGGACCCCCCGTCCCGAGCCTGCACCCGGAACCGAAGCTCCCGCAGCTGCTCGTAGTCGAAGGAGCGCAGCGCGTACACAGCCCCGGTCTCCGAGTTAATGGACACGGCGGAGGAGAGCGGAGCTTCGCGGCCCTCGCCCTCCAGCAGAGAGTAAGTCACTCGGGCGTTCTCCCCCCAGTCGCGGTCAGTGGCCCTCACGGAGCACACGGAGGCCCCGCTGGGGTTGTTCTCGGGGATGGACACAGTGTAGGATGTCTGGCTGAAGACGGGCGCGTTGTCGTTTATGTCCGAAAGTTGCACTGAGATGCTTGTGGTGGAGGATAACGGGGGAGTCCCGCGGTCTGTGGCTGTGACCGTCACATTGTAACCCGAGACCCGCTCCCGGTCCAGGGCTCTGTCAGTCACCAAGCTGTAGTAATTGTCCAATGTCTTCTGCAAGCGGAACGGCAGATTGGCTGCGATGGAGCACGTGACCTCTCCATTCCGACCTGAATCTTCATCTCTGATGTTCAGTAGCGCAATCAGTGTTCCAGGCGGGCTGTCCTCCCTGACTGAGCTGAAGAGAGACGTCATTGTGATGGTGGGAACGTTATCATTGACATCGATCACAGTAACCAGGACTTTGGACCTGGCCGAGAGGTCTCCACTGTCCTTGGCTTGAACCTCCATCTCATACGACGCAGCTTCCTCATAGTCCAGGTTCCCCGCCGTCGATATTTCTCCCGTTCTGGCGTCCACGCGGAACACCTGCGACGCTTTGTCTTTCAGTTTCCGGAGCGAGTAGGTGAGCGCCGAGTGCATCGCTTCGTCCGGGTCGGTGGCGTTCACTGTCAGCAGCAGGGACCCGACGGGCACGTTTTCCAGAACACTCACTGTATAGACCGGCTGGCTGAAAGCTGGCGCGTTGTCATTGGCGTCCAGGACAACGACGCGGACCCGCGCGGTGCCGGACCTGACGGGATCCCCCCCGTCCGTGGCTGTGAGGATTAGATCGTGAACGGCTCGTTCTTCCCGGTCCAGAGGCTTTTGCAGCACCAGGTCCAGGTGTCCGTCCGCATCGGCTCCCGCCTGCGCCTCCAGAGAGAAGTGCTCGTTGCTGCTGAGCTGATACCCCTGCAGGGAATTGGTGCCCACGTCCGGATCCTGCGCCTCCTCCAGCGGGTACCGGGTTCCCACGGCGGTTAACTCACTGATTCTAAATTCGAACTGAGCTTCCTGGAAGCGGGGCGCATTGTCGTTAATATCCGTTATTTCAACGTCCACTATGACAAGCCTCACTTTATCCTCAACAAGAACCTCTAGATGCAACAGACACCTCTCTAGCTGGCCACATATTTGCTCTCTGTCCATTCTCTCTGTGGCGATTAAATGGCCGCTCTTAAGATTCAGAGCAAAATAGGGAGTCCTACCTGTGGAAACAATACGGACTCCGCTGTCTGGGAGCTCCTGTAGATCCAGTCCCAGATCCTTTAGGAGATTTCCCACGAAAGAGCCTTTCTGCATTTCCTCAGGAATCGAGTAGCGAATTTCCCCAGCCACTGTCTGCCAAGCGATAAGCAAAGCAAAGCAGACCAGAGACCGCCCTGGTGCGCTGCCCAGCCCGGCTTTAGCCGCCATTTCCAGATCTCTGAACTAGAAATCGCAGAATCGCAATCCCCGGCGCCGAAACGTTTATTGGTCTGGTTTTGGAGATACTAGTTCAAGTAACAATTCGCTGCGGGTTTCATTCCTGCAGCCGTGAATGTGAAGGCTCCGTTCTAGTGTCCTAGCGCTCTGAGCTGCGGCTGGGCTAGGCTGGGTCTCTGACTGCATTTCTCCGCTCACTGGTGCACAGCGGCATCCAGAGTCTCAATCCATAACTGCAACAGCGCCGATAAATATTTTGAAAATTGTCTTTCAATAGGTACTTTTGACCGGTTCCATATGCGTTAGGGAATCCTCTAACTACGTAATAAACGTGCAAATATGTCTACGCCAGATGGCGTACTTAGTATTAACTATACCCCCATCATGATGTAGTAATTTCATACAAATGTGTTAAACGAGCGAAACTATTCCGCTCTCTCCCTCCGCTTCAGACTGGGGATAACTCACAACTATGTTTCATACTAGGAACAGGTCAAATCATTCCAATTTACACATTTCACATATGAATGCGTAAGGAACATTCTTTCATTCTCTTTCCATAGATATTTTTCTCCCCTCTTTTGAGATTGCACCATTAATGTATTTACTTTTCATTCGTATGTTATTTTTTCACCAGAACAAAAATGTATTTGCACTGCTCTAAGAAATTTTGCACATATAAAATTCAGTGTAAGCAAAAGCAAATCCAGCAGGATCTACTACCCCCGGAAAGGAAGACTCATATTCCTAGGAAATTAAAATATCTATAAGAAGACCATAAGAATGGCCATATTGGGTCACACCAAAGTCCATCTAGCCCATTGTCCTCTCTGCGGACAGCGGCCAATGCCATATGCCGCAGTGGGAGTGAACAGAACAGGTAATCCTAACGTGATCCCTTTCCCGTAATCCATTCCCAGCCTCTAACCAAGCCTAAAGACAAATTCCTACCTATTCTGGCTAAGAAGTATTAATCTATAATGCTTCACATTCCTCACCAACAAGGTTCTTTCTTAAGAGCTCCTGAAAACTTTTTGTTGCATGCCCTAAAGATCATCAGATTTGGAGGTTGATACAGGTTTGCAAGGGGAAGGACATTTACAGAAAAATACCCTGACGTCATCGTCCCTCCCCTTTCTCTAATTTACCCTGTTGTGACTCCAGTTCCAGTGCTTTCGCCTTTTCCAGTTAAGCCAGCACATCACACTCTCATTGCAGGAGAAATGATCTCTCATGTAAACTGGTCTCAAGTAACAGGAATGCGTAGTTGATTTTGAGCACCTTAAGCTCCACTTAGAAATCAAAAGACAGGCAATGCAGATAATGGAAAAAGGAAACGTTTGTCGCTAGTTGCTTTGTTTTAGATGGCTTATTAAGGCTCTAATACTCTGACAGGGGTGAACAGAAGGAAAAAGAGCGAAACAAAGGCAGGAATGAGAGGGAGAGCAAACTGTAAGAGCCCAGAAATTAAACTACTATCCTAGAACCATATTTTAATGTTTAGGGAAATATTTAATCACGTGATCAGAACATTTGTCTATGTATGTAACAATACTTATTTCTGTTTCACTTTATTGTCCCATGCAATAAAGTGGATGAGGCACATTCTTTATGGTTGCATTCTGATTAATGCCCATTCCAAGTCAAAGGGCGAGGAAGATAAGATAACATGGAAATAGTAATGTATCAAAAAGAGACATATGCATTCAAACTCCTTAGTGATACCGTATCTCCTTTGCACTAATAGTGCATCTTGACATACCACACTCATTAGGAAGTCAATGGTTTTTAATTTCTCCCAGCAATTAACATGGTAACAGCACATGAAACCATTTATTTAAAAAGAGGTCTTAACTGAAGACAAGTGTCATTATATAAAATAAAATAAAAACTATAAAATGCATTAATAAGATAATTACTCAAGCAAGAATCATATATATAGCAGCCCAGTGTCTGTAATGCTGAAATGCTGGCTGTTCTCTCTGGGGGGTGTTGTTGCCTGAAATGCTGGCTGTTCCCTCTGGGCAGCCATGCTGCATGCCAAGTGCAGGGCCCAAATGGCTGCTTGTGCCACTTGCTCCCCTGTGGCAGCTCCGCTGAGCAGTGCAGAAGTTGACTGAGCAGCACAGAAGTCAGCCGAACACCACGGCAGGAGGTGAAAGGGGACAAGGCGGTGACGTGCGGTGTGACAGCAGCTCCAGGCCCTGCCCCTGGGCATGAACATCATCACCCCACCCCCCTTTGCCTCCCGCCACAGTACTCGCTGACTTCTGCACTGCTCAGCCAGGTCGCTGCATGGGAGCAAGTGGCACAAGTGACCGTTTTGGCTCCACACCCCTCATGCAGCATGGGGAGTGCAGCATTTGGGCTCCAAGTCCTGAGTGAGAGGCAGGAGGGGGAGGAGAAGAGAAAGAGAGAGACAGAGAGAGAGGCAGGAGGCAGAGGAGAGCTGAGGGGGAGGAGAAGGAGAGCCAGAAAAAGAGAGACTGAGGGAGACCCAGGAGGCTCAGGAGAGAAGATAGATGTGGAGGAGAGACCTGAAAATCCCGTTTTATGAAGGGCTAATTGGCTAGTTTATAATAAATAGCACAGTGCTAAGACGGTCAAGCCAGCTATTTTGGGCAGAATTTGAACGGTTTCAAAACATAGACACCCTAGCGCACCAAAACAGAAAGAAAAAGAGAGACTGAGGGAGACCCAGGAGGCTCAGGAGAGAAGATAGATGTGGAGGAGAGACCTGAAAATCCCGTTTTATGAAGGGCTAATTGGCTAGTTTATAATAAATAGCACAGTGCTAAGACGGTCAAGCCAGCTATTTTGGGCAGAATTTGAACGGTTTCAAAACATAGACACCCTAGCGCACCAAAACAGAAACTCACCGTAAGGCTCGCATCAGTCTCACGGGCAGAATTACCGTTCACAGGCAGCATTCCCGAGTTGTCTCTGCAAACAATATTCTCCTCTGAGAAGTTCTGAACAGTTGATTTTAGGACACTAAACGTCTTAATTCCGGAGTCTGCGGCTAAACACAGGTTGTAGCTGTACGGCAAAGTCCCCTCGCAGTAGCCTGGTGGGAATCCGGGACCCGCCTTGGAATAATCGGAACCCAAACATCGCAAACCTGAGCAATTCGCAGCCTTTCGCAATCTCACCGCAATGGCCAGTGTCACCGTCAGGAGGAAGAGAAACGAGACCAAGGCCAAGGCCAACACCAAGTAGAACTGCAAATCAGACTGCGGCGCCGACTCAGCCGACCGGTCGCTCATTTCCGGAAGAGCCTCTTGGAAGTTCTCGGCGAACACCAGGCTCAGAGTCACGGTGGCGGAGAGAGGCGGCTGCCCGTTGTCCTTCACCAGGGCGCCCAGCCGGTGCTTCACCGCATCTCTGTCCGCAAAGGCGCGCGCGGTCCGGATCTCCCCGCTGTGCAGCCCCAGTCTGAAGAGCGCCGGCTCCGTGGCCTGCAGCACATGGTAGGAGAGCCAGGCGTTGTGTCCCGAGTCCGCATCCACCGCCACCACCTTTGTCACCAGATAACCCGCCTCGGCCGAGCGAGGGACCATCTCGAACACGGCCGAGCCCTCGGTCTCGAGCGAGGGATACAGGATACGAGGGGCGTTGTCGTTCCGATCCAGGATAAACACGCTGACGGTGACGTTGCTGCTGAGAGGCGGCGACCCGCCGTCTTGGGCCTTCACTTGCAGCTCGAACGCCCGGAACTGCTCGTAGTCGAAGGAGCGCTGCGCGTACAGCGCTCCAGTCTGGGAGTTGATGGACACGTAGGAGGAGACAGGGAGCTCCTGGATGCTGCTGCGCAGGATGGAGTAAGTGACCCGGGCGTTGCCGTCCAGATCCCGGTCTGAGGCTTTGACACTGAAAATGGAGGCCCCCGAGGGGTTGTTCTCGGGCACGTAGGCGCTGTAGGAAGGTTTCTCGAAGACAGGGGCGTTGTCATTGATATCCGAGATCTGTAAGAGGATGGTTTTCTGGGTGGAGAGCGGGGGGGAGCCCTTGTCTGTAGCCGTGATTGTGATGTTGTACTCCGGGGCCCGCTCCCTGTCCAGGGGTAGGTCAGTGACTATTTTATAGTAGTTAGCAGAGGAGGACACTATTTTAAAAGGCAAAGTGTTTTCAATGTGACAGGTGACGTCTCCATTATCTGCAGCATCCAGGTCACGAACTTTAATGAGAGCGGTCACTGTGCCTGGAAGTGCGTCTTCTGGGATGGGGCTGGACACGGATGTGAGCGTCACTTCCGGGGCGTTGTCGTTCTCATCAAGAATTTCGATCTGAACTTTGCAGTGAGCAGCTTGTCCTCCGCCATCCCTGGCTTCCACGCGCATGGTGTGTGTGTTTGCTTTCTCAAAATCCAGGGTCCCTGTATTTGTAATTCTTCCATCCACAGGATCTAAATTAAATAGTTTACGAGCATTCTCTTTAATGTTGCTAAAAGTGTATGTGATTTGCGCATTCAGCCCTTCGTCCTGGTCTGTGGCTTTCACCTGAAGCACCAGGGAGCCCGTTGGCAGATTTTCTCTTACGCTGACTTTGTAGGTCTCTTCAGTAAATAGAGGGGGGTTGTCATTACTGTCAGTAACATTGATCCTAATCTGAACGGTCCCGGTTCTCACCGGGTCTCCCCCGTCCACGGCCGTCAGGATCAAGTGATAAGAGTTTTGCTTTTCCCGATCCAAAGGCTTTTCCAAAATTAACTCGGCATATTTGTTTTCATCTGGACTCTCCTTCAGTGACAGGATAAAATGCGGGTTCTTGCTGAGCTGGTAACTCCGCAGTGAGTTGACCCCAACGTCTGGGTCGTGCGCAGATTCTAGAGGAAATCGGGCACCCGGCAGTGCGGATTCAATAATTTCCAGATCGATGTTGTCTGTCTTGAACCGCGGGGCGTTATCATTAATGTCCTGGATCGCTACAGTCACCTGGAAAACATTCAGAGGGTTTTCCACCACCGTTTCCAGCGTCAGCACACAAAGGGGAGTCTCCCCGCAGATCTCCTCCCGGTCTATGCGGCCATTCACAGACAAGTCCCCGTTCTCCCCATTCACACTGAAGTGCTGCTGTTCCGAACTGACACGGAGCCTCCGCAGCGGCAGCTCCCTCAGCTCCAGCCCCAGATCCTGGGCGAGGTTTCCCACGAGGGAGCCTTTGGCCATTTCCTCGGGGATCGAGTAGCGAGTCAGCTCCGGGGCCGCGCGGCAGAACAAAGGGAAGAAGCAGGAGAGGAGCAGTACTTGCCGTGGGGCCGCCCGGCCCGGCGCCCGGCGCCTGGTCTCCATCCGGTGCACTTCCACGTACGCTCTCTTCTATATTTCGTGCAAAACAGCGCTTACAAATCCGGATATATGGTCTATACCCCAAGTAATGAAGAGAAAACTCATTCGGCTTCTGAGGCTAATTGAGCACCAGGGTCCGGAGTGAGGCGTTCTCCGAGCCGGCAGCGTTTCTCTGCGTTGTTTTCCCTGTGATTTGTGCTGTATTACCGAGAAATTCCGCTGCTGCAGTCTGTAAGAGACCTCTGGCTGGAGCTCCGCGCCGCGTTGGCCAGCAGCGACACTCTGAGCTCAGCCGGAGAACTGCAGCTCGCAGCACTAAAGACGTAATAAATCTACTGTGTGTAATGTAAATGTGATAACATTATTCTCAATCCAGTCAGTTCTTGAACTGGGTCTTAAACGGTTCGTCCGAACACCCAATAATAATAATGCTGCTCTATAATTTATAGCAG